TGCATCAAAGAATTCTTTGTCATAGTACTGCTTCCACCAGTCTTCAAAGATAGGAGAACACAAAAAGTTGAGTTTGAAGTCGAACAAAGTTAGTACGGTTTGACCAACGTACCTACCAATATTCTTGGTAGCAGTATCCTCTGAATAGTCTGCATTATAAAACAACAGAGAATTTTCTCGGGGATAGATTGGAGAAGGGAGTGATTGGATGATGCTAAATTGGAGAGATACAAGATTCAGTTGATAAGTAATCAAACTGAGTTGATTCTTTGAACTCTTAAATCTCATTGGTATAATTCTTGCGCGAAGAAATAATTCCCAGATAGCCACATACTCCTTCACTTGGTCCTCTTCATCAGATGAGGGATATGGTCGAATAAACCATTCCGGACCAACCTTTCGATTGGCGAAGGGAGCCATAGTCGAAATAAATTCCTTACACTTTGCAAACATTATTAAAAATCTAGTAAATGCTTTCTGGAATTGTTGAGACTCATCAGTTGGAGTCAACAGGACTAATCTAGTGCCTTCGACCCTTATGTTTAAGATTTCTGGGGCCTTCTCATTAATCTTGTTCTTATGAGGAAGAAAAGATTAAAAAGTGGCGTTGAGCCAAAGTTGAAGGAGCCATAAAGGAGAAAATTCGCCCTATCTCCAATAACTTTAAGCTAAGTCACACCATTGCTGATGGAATCATACAGGTTGGCCAAAATCAATTCGGCCAAACAAAGGTTGTAGCCATGATGAAGTTGCGCCGCAAGGGTGAGCATCTTCTTAGTCACTTGAAGTGATTTGGTACAGAAAACAAAGCGAGACAACCACAAAGCTAGGAAAGCTATGTGTTCCACTTTAGAGACAGTGCTGTTAGACTTGTCGTGAAAGTGGTTGATGAAAGTAGTGTATGTGGATTTCGTGGCCGAAAACCCAATAGTATCTTTAGATAAATCTTTAGGGTCGAAATAGTCACCAGTTGGTTGAAGACCAGTAATGGCTACTATGTCGAAAAGAGTTGGAGTCACCATTCAACAGGGTAAATGGAAAGTGAAATGCGTGCTATCCCAGAAGTACAACGAAGATACCAACACAAGAGGGCAATAAGGTAACCCAGTCTTCGATAACATGACCAAGTCATAAATCCCCATATCTTTCCAGATTTGGGTCTGCACTATTTTCATCTTACTTAGCCATTCTGAATACTCTGAAGTAAGGCTAGGGCAAGACCTAAAGATCATGTTCCCCTTGTTCATAAACTGAAGGTTTATGTCTTCCTTCGTTTGAGAGTGTTGTTGGTTAGCAGGAGTAGCATCCTCAGGGTCATTCCTGGGTTTCTTCGCGCAACCTATAGGCTTGAGCCTAGGGTGAGTTGGGAAGAAGGCATTATTCTGCTTGGGGTTCGCAACGCATGCAGATAGTGGAACAGACATGGCGTACATGTGCCCAGAGTACCTAACGGGAATAAGTACCTGAGAATCGTAAACTTCACGCCATTATCTAGTCATTGGTTTAGAAACAACCCTTCGCTCCCCAATCGAAGCAGGAACAAAACTAGTGGAAAAGATTTCTGGTTATTATTGTAAGTCAGAAACGTTCTTGGTTTTGGGATTATTTGGTGCGTTTGAAAGGAAAGTCATGGTTGAGGGTAGTAAAAGAACGAAGAAGATGAAGTTCTTAAGATTTATTTTTGCAAGTAAATAAGGAATATTATGAGTTGTAAAAATTTAAAAGAAGAGAATTCGTGGCTATTTATAGTGTCCAGGGAAGAGTGTTTTCCCTCAAAACCATTTAATGCTACAGAGTTAGTGGGGAACATGGCGAACATTAAGGCAGTTATCGTATAGGTGATGGAAATGTTTGCCATACTTTCCTAGGTTGTAGGGATAATGGCCATCATGGCAGTGTGCAAATGGTTGACTGATAGCGGCGTCTTGGGAAAAGGGTAATGATGACTCTGAATACCAGTAGTGGTTGGTAGAAGGCGAAAAGGGCACGATTGACTTTTATGGCCAAAAAGAAGACAGGTGTCGAATGGGAATATCAAAGAATGGCCATTTCTTTTGGCGTCGGAATTGACATTCTTGGGGGCAATTTGTTAGCTCCTGAATTGGACACCTACACATGTTGGTCCTACTGGCCAAGAATAGGTTGAAGAAATCTAAAGTTAAACACGCTTCGACAGAAGAGTTCGTGATGTTAGTTTTGTGCAAGCTATGCTAAGAAGAGAAGAAATACTTAGATAAATTTTCTAAGTTAAAAGGGGGTGTTCAACCAAGAAGCCTTTGCCCTTCGACCAGGAAACTTCGTATCAGCAATAAGTGATTTTGAATCTGAAGAAAGGAAGGAAAAAGCAGTTCACCTGGCAGTTGAAGAAAGCAACGTGGCATAAGGACAGAAGTCGAAGTGCATGCAGAGGACACTTATCATCATCTTAGAGCAAGGCAACTCCTCGATGGTTACCTAGTTCTAGTATAAATATAGGGATTCTATGTAGATTTTCGTGTGTTCAACTAATTGTACAAGTCACTCAATATTATTCGAGTACCCGTTGCGTGAGAAAGAATACTGAGAATGTACGTTTGAAACACCACATTTTATAATCAAAGTATTTTACATTCCTTTTTACATTCCTTGCCATTCTTGCTTACAGCCTTTTATCTTACTTGCAAAGTTTATTTTCCCTTGCATTTTACTTGCATTTTTTACCAGATTTCTACACTTAAACTTATCTCAAACCTCTACCTTTCTCATTCGAATGTGTTCTTTATTAAAATTAGTATTTTTATCAAAACAACACAAATATTTAGCATATGTCCTAGGATCAAACTGATCGATCCTGCAAGTAACCAAAAATTACCCTTTTTGGAAGATCAACAATTGTTTACTAATTTTCACGGTAAACACCTGTGAAGCCTGAGACATGCGACCACGTGAAGTCGGCGCTTCTGTGTCAAAAAAACTAGCACTAACTCGTGGCCTCGAGCGTGATGCCCTCTCCCTACGACCGAACGCGTGTTGGGATACACGATTATGCCTCAATTTGTCTTGGTTATCAGTCATTGTTCCTATAATATAAAACAGAAAATAATATAAAAATCAAGGCAAGTAAATCTCAGAGATGCATCTACGTAAAACAGAAAAACAAAATCCAAAAAAATCTAGAGATGCATCACCGTAAAACTGGAAAGAAAAAAATTCCAGAAAAATCTGGAGATGTGTCTCCGTAAAAATTAGTGATAGTAGAATTTTGCAGACAATGCAGAAAATGCCCTAAACACCAAAAAATTTGTATACATGTATAAACGAAGTATCAATTTTGAATGTAACAACAAACTAATGCAATTTAAACAACTTATTTTACCTAATACATGCATCATAACTCAAGAATAGAAAGAAACTTATAAACTTATTGATTAAGAGATTTCTTGTACGAAATTTTGAATGAAGTGAATTGAATATATTGGGATTGATTACAATGCAATTGAAGTAATTTTGAATCTTGAAAAATGGCACACTTGAATTTTACTCAAAGCTATTTGAAAAGGGTTTGTGAAAGTGTAACAAATGAAGAAGAAAGGAGGAAATTGTTGGCGTGGGACATCAATTAAACCCTGTTCAGAGATGTATCTTCGTAAACCTCATTGAGCGCAAAAACAATAATTTTTAAATTAAGGGTTATTGCGGAGATGAATCCCCAAAAATATTTTTGGACAAAATAGGGTGGCTCATCCGCTAAAGCGTTTGGGGTGTGTAATTTGAGCGCGTCCTCCGAAATTCGAGAGCTTTTGTGACTTTTCAGCATTAGCATCCTTAAAGATGCGAAAAATAATATTCAATATATTATTTGAGGTTGACCCTAAATGGATTGTACACTACCGAATTCTAAATAAAACATTTGTTTATTATTTTCTTTTAAAAATATCTTATAATATTTATTATATAAAAGATATTATACTTTAAATATAATATATTTTTAATTACTATATTATGCTTTAAAAAACTCTAATATGTTTTTAGATAGAGTAAAAGCTTTAAATTGTTCAAAATTATATACAAATATTCCACATAATACAAATTAATAAAATAAGAGAAAGTTGTAAAATAAAATATAAAATAATTAAATATTAATTTAATTATATTTAATATATAATATTTAACATAAAATTTGAATGTAATATAAGAAATAAATTTAATAGAATGTGAAAATTTAATGTATAATTTTAACTGAAATAACATAAATATTAATATATATTTTTTTTAAAATTAGTTATGTTAACTAAACGAATTATCTGTGACTCATACATACTAGTACTAATAAGATTGAGTTAAAAAATCTCTTATAGAATTTGAACTCTAATTTTATGATCTGAATCTTATATTTAATCAAACTTTTTAAATCGACTTATATAAACTAAATCATTTTAAGGGATTTTATCTCACAAGACATTGAAACAAAGACAACATAATTATATATATATTGTTCTGACTATGATTTTACATCAAAAAAGTTTAAACAATTTGTTCTTAACCGAATCTAAACTTTATTTAATTAAACTTAGTGATCTAATTATCATTTTTATTAAGACAATATAGTGTTTAATTAATTTATTTAAAAAAAATTAGGTTAGTGTTCTTATTTTAATGAATAATTAAAAATATAATTGGGCCGGTCCATGATGAGAAATGAAGATATAGATTACGTGGTTGAGGACTTAAGACCAAGTCATCCATTATAAGGTCTTGTTTTATATTCCAACTCAACATCATTGGTTTCTTTCTATTCATCCAAATGGCAAAGTGACCAAGTCAACCATTATAACATTGCCACAATTTTCCAACTCCTTTGTTTTCTTCCAACAAATTGTCTACACTCACGTTTTATGTGCTTGTCCAACACTAAGATATTATATAATTTAATTTGGAATATTATAAAGTGGAACAAAGATATATAAAGGCTAAGCTAGTAGTACTCAATAGAATCATATAACTAAAACTCTAAGAGGATCATGAGTCAAGCACTAGCAAGAAAGATATCATTCTCATGGGAAAAGAAACCAGGTATCTCCAAGGAAAGTTTTAGTACTCATGGTGAAAATTTAATTCAAAGAGAGAAGGATCTTTTGGCTAAGTTGCCACCTCCTCCAATTTCATTAGATGGATCAACTACTCCTAGGAATCTTGTTCATGATTTTCAAATTCCACTTCCTCCTTGTGCTTTTCAACCTCCTTATTATAGAACTTGTTCTAAAAAGGGACTTGATGATGATCCTTTTTTGGCAGCTTATAAAGAGTGTACTAAGAGTAAGAAAAGTGGTAAGAGGGACAAAAAGTTGAGTAAAGGTGGTGGTGGTGGTAGTTTTTGTGAACTTAGGTCTTTTTTCTCATGTAAGAGATCTTGTCATGTTTATGACAATAATTTGGGTAGAATATCTCATCACTCCCCACAAAACATTGATTGAGGTTGATATGTATGGTCTAATTAATTACATATGTAGTTACTTTCATGAACTTGTGTTTTGTTTAGACTAATCAAACAACTCTAGTGTTATGTTCTAGGGGTGTGAATAATACTTACCATGAGTCATTTAGTTTCTTAAAATGTTATAAATGATAGTACTTATGATGCCTCTACTTAGCAAGGTAAAACCACTTTGATGCATTTAGTTTTTAAAATTTGGAGTTAGACCAATTTAATTCCCCTTAGACAAAAAGGTGGGAAATTTCTTTACATTTCTCACACGCTTTTTATTTCTTTAAAAAATGAAATTGTTGTTAGGATTCTAGAATTTAGGACGTAGTTTTAGTTTTTAGATTATAAAATTTGAGTATACTATTACTAAGAAAACAAGACATCATCTTAAACAGATTATTAAACAACAATATAAATATAAATTAAAGATATTAATTAAACAATTTGGATTATAGAATTCAAATTTTCATTTTTTTTTTTCAATTTATATTTTTAGATTTTAAAATTTTAAAATTTTAAAAATTAATTAAATTGATTCTTGAAATCTACAATCTAATAGTTTTAGGGATATTCAAAGGTATCACACCCGAAATAAGATCAAACAAGTACAAACACAAACATGCAAGAATTGACATACTATTGCTTAAATCTATTAATATCTATTGTGTCTTCAAAGTTCTAGACTTAATCGAAACTACAATAAGATTAAATAATATGGCTTTAAGGCCAATTTTCATAATTTGACTTTAAGGTCAAGTTTCATGTTAATAGCTCAACTAATCTTATAGGAAGAAAATTATGGAACCAAGAGCTAAGATTCTCAAATATCATGAGATAAATTAAGCTTGAACATATAGTATGAACTATGTCTAATTCGATTTGTCTCTTGAAACTATAATGACAATATAATGAGCATGGTTCTCACATCATCCTTTAACATTTGTCTTTGGAGGTCCATCGGAAACAAGCATACCATCTCATAAGTTTTTGAACAATCCAAAGTCTTTTCTTGTCATGGTATACTCTATATTTTATGATTTGCATATGTAAAATTTAAAAATACACATTTTAATTTTATAATATTAATGAGTTAAACACTTTAAATATGAGGGACTTTTTATGTTCTTCTCTAATATTGAGTACAATTTGGATTATAGAATTCAAATTTTTATTTATTTATTTTAATTTATCTATTCAAATTTTAAAATATGAAAATAATTAAAATAACACTTGAAATCGACATACGGACACTTTTAAAGTTATTCAAAGGCCTCTCTGTTGAAGCAAAGTCATATTAGTACAAACACAACCAAACATGAGCCAACATAATCTTTTTCAACTCTAGTGATGTATATCGTGGCCTCAAAGACTATATACTTAATCAAAATTACAACAACGCCATTAATTTGGGGGAGAAGATTATGGAACCATGAGACGAAAAAATTTCTCACATATGAACCTAGCCAATGAAACTGCTAAATAGCATAAGACATTGAGTCAAATGTGGGAAGTTGCGTGCCCTAATTAGAAGAACACTTGTGCACTATTCGCTTAAATAGTCAAGGGAGACATCATTTTTTGTACATCACAATATTATAAACTATTGGATAGTTTTTTTCTCTAAATACCACACTTTTAACATTGTTTTACATATCCAATCAATCAAATTGTTTTATGCAATTTCTCATTTTTTTTCTTTCTTTTTATTTTTTATGCATTTTTCAGGCTAGTAGTTTAATTTCTCATGTGTATTTAATGCTATTTGGAGTAGTTAAAATACACATTTTAATTTTATAATTTGGATGAGTTAACACTACGCCAAAAAAGACCTACGAAAGCGTTTTTTTGGCCTTTAAAAGCGCTTAAAAGCGCTTTCTAAGGTGACGCTGCTAAAGGTTTTAGCAGCGCTTTTTGTTTAATGAAAAGCGCTCTCATAGGTCTACTTATGACAACGCTTTTTCTAAAAAGCGCTCTCTTAAGTACCCTTATGGCAGCGCTTTTTCTAAAAAGCGCTCTCTTAAGTAGGCTTTTGGCAGCGCTTTTTCTAAAAAACGCTCTCTTAAGTAGGCTTTTGGCAGCGCTTTTTCATGAAAAAGCGCTTTCATTGGTGGCGCTTTTTTTGGAAAAAAGCTTCCATAGGTTGTCTTTTAGCAGCGCTTTTTCTTGGAAAAGCGCTGTCATAGGTCTACCTATGAAAGCGCTTTATGTGAAAAAGCGCTGTCATAGGTCTACCTATGAAAGCGCTTTTCTCCAAAAAGCGCTTTCATAGGTTATTTTTTTTTAGAGGTATTATTTATATCATTCATATACCTGCATTGTTTGCCATAACCTGTAATTCATAAATAGCGGTAATGCATTGTAATTCCGATACCCCGTTCTCGTACTCTTTCGACAATCGATTGGAATACAACCGTGTCTTATCCATGATTTACGGTTTCTGAGTCAAAACCAATACTCAATATAACAAAACCAATACTCAATACTTTTCACTAAATTCATTTTATTCTATCAACTATTTTAGTACACAAGTATAACACAAGAAACCATAAACAAGAAACTATCATTGCTCAAAATCAATCATAAATTATGTTTGTATCTCAAATTATATATAAACCATTGTTATCTGTATTCTAACTCAAAGTCAGTATTACAAAATCAACTCTAACAACAACTAAACCAGTCCTTATATTATTCTCTGCTCAATAAAATATTGACACAACTCCTCTTTGGTTTCTTCCAACTGAAGTTTCGTGTAATATGCATATTTGTACTCATCGAAGTACTACATAAGAAAACATAATATGCATGATTTAGTTAAAAGTAAAAAATTATATGGAATATCCGAGAAATAATAAAACAAATTCTAAGTTATAAATTCATACCGTGACTGGAATCTCTATTTGATTCAGTTGAATGATTTCTTTGATAAACCACATAACGAAGTATCCACAATCTATACCGTTTTATTGTTGAGGACACTACATAGAAAAACAAATAAGAATATATAGTTGTATTGTTTTATCAAATAGCGTAAATATTATAATCAAAATAGTGGAAATTAATATACCTGCACTTTGATCCAATTAATGTTGTTTGATTTAGACCGTCGTACCCGAGCTTCTCTTTGACACTGGAATATTTGTATCGCTCTAACAAAATTAAAAATATATATTTAGAACAATGTCACAGAAATAATTAAATACATAAATACACATAAATATTTAGAATAATCTCACTTACGTATCAATCATTAACTTCATATCTGGATAATTTGTCCAATCACCGTCAACCGAATTCAGATAATAGACCACTTCTTTTATAGGATCGATAGCAACCAACAACCAGTGACGTCTATAAATTAAAACAACAGTTTAGAAGAAATTTTTCTACGCAAAAATTACAAATATTAAAATGAATTTAGAATGAAAATCTAACCTTGTAGGAATAGTATTATACGCCCAAAGATATAAGCTTTCTGTACTGTCAGTTGCCATGAATCTTTCGACTAATTGCTCTCTTACTGAATTCGGTTCCCTACCAATTGTCGCTCCGCTGACACGGGAGGAAGACACAAAATGGAATCTGTTTGACAATTGATTCCCGCGCATCAATTTTTCATATAACAGCCTTAAATAGAAACATAATTAATATTAGAGTATATTCATTGAAAATGTTTAAAAAATATTTCAGCTAATTATATAATATAAAGATGGGGTTACCGGATGTATGCGTGCATAATACTGACGCCCAATTCTTTATGACGGAAAATCTGTTCCACGTCCTCATGTCCAATTATTTATGTGCAAGGAAAACCAAAAATACCTTGATCCATATCAATTTGACGAATACCACCATCCATCAAATTTGTTGTTCCCACTATTGTTTCCAGACACTGCCGATATCCAGGGAAAAATCTAGTAGGCACCCTTTTCTTGGGTGGTACGCCAACGATTTTCTGGCTCACTTGTTGTGACCCATGAAAAGGTACCTAAAAATCATATAAACTCGGTTAAATTCTAAAATTATGCAGTTTTTTATTCGGATCATATAATTAACACTTTAAACGTACCTCTTTTGGTGATACGTCAGACTCGTCGTGCCGCAAAATCCCTTTACCCTTAGATGCGGGTGTTATAGGAGTCTATAATTACCGTGGAAATAACTGAGGTCAGAACTGACAGTTGAAGACTTAAAGATTCATAATTGTTTTCAACATACCTGATCATCTATGAAAATGAGGTCGGATGGCCATGCAACAAAAGATCCAATTGCATCTCGCAGCAATGTGGTCTCAGCAACAATGTCAGGTACCGGCAGCAATGCATCCATATCTAAAGCAATGTCAACCGATACTTTCATGTGACCATCCGGAAGCGGTCTATTATGAAGTAAATCTCCCGAACTGTTATAGACTTTTCCCTTGCCAACTAGACGATAAGTCGGTGACGATGGGTAGAGCTGGCAAGATGAAATACCCTAAACCAATAATAACTGTTAGAAGTGACTAAAAATATTCTATAGTAATAACGGATATATATTAAAAATTACCTCGGGAAATTTATGCTGAAAGTTGATACTAGCTTTGTCACTAGTTTCTTTCAAGTGTGAACTGCTCTTTTCCGCCATATATCTCTCTTTATCCTTCTGCAATTCACGAACTTGAGCTTGTAAATCCTGCAATGTTTGCATCACTTCTGCATTTCTAGGATTTCTTCTCCTTGGATGCTTATACAAAGAGGTTGGAGTCACACCATGACCTTTACCCCTCACCCAACCCGGATACTCAGCAATATTTAGTGCTCGACTAAGTACGCTCCTGGTATCGTGAGGATCCTCACCTAGGGATACCGATTGGGACAAGGTCTCCTGTAATTCAATTACATATAAAAAATTATTAGTGGAGATAAAAAATTACTTAAATATTAATAAACATTAATTGATTTAACTAAAGACACAATCTTATACTTACACATTCATCATACACATGTT